AAAGGGGAGGGTTGTGCAACACAGAGAAGACAAGTAGTGATTCTACAACATCTTACTATGCTGATGGACAGTGACTGTAATGGGGTTTGTGGGGGTCCTTAGGGTAGGGGAGAGCCTAGTAAACATAATGTTCTTCAGGTAATTGTAGATTAATGATAACAAAATAAAAAAATTAAATAAATTAAAAAATTAAAAAAGAATATATTATAAAAAAAAGGATTTTTAGAATCTTGTATCCAGCAACAGAGAATGTACATTCTTTTTAAAAGTGCAAGAAACAGTTATAGAAACTGGCCACATACTTGGCTATAAATCCAGTCTCAACCAGTTTCCCAGAATCTGTATCATACAAATCATGTTCTCTGGTTACAATGCAAATAGGTTACAGATAAATACAGAAAGAAAACCAAAAGAAAAAAGTCTGTATATGAAGATGTTCCCTTTAGTGTTAATTACCTATAACAGTCAAAAATTACAATCACTGAAATATCCAATGATATTAGTATGGTTAGGTAAATTATGCCTCATCAACCCAAAGGACTCTCATGTGGCCATTAAAATGATTTTTTAAACGGACTATGTTTAAGATATAACATTAAGTGAAAATTCTAAATCGCTATGTTACTTATGATTACAACCATGTGAAAATATGTGTGCATTTAGAGAGATTAGAAAGATATAAGCAAATGAAAAAAGTTGTTATAGTGATGAGATTATGTGTAATTCTACTTTTAAATGGATTTTCTGTGATGTGGTTACACTGTTTGAGTTAAAAGAATCAATGGAAGACATGTTCTCTGTCTGGCAGCTGATGCTAGTTATGCCTTAATAACTATAATCCCTTTCTTTGATAACAACAGAATTTTAGTTGCAGACATAACTGCACCAAACAAGAGTCCAATTCCCAGCCTCCTTTGCAGCTAGGCATGACGAGAGGACAAAGTCATAGCTAATGAACTATGAGAAGTAGGTGCCCTTAAACACAGAGTCTGTCTTTCCTTTTCCTTTTCCTTCACCTTATTACCTGAAATCTTCCTTAGGTTTGTGATTGCACATGCTACTAGTGGACTGAATCTGATATGTGTCTGACTGGATGAGGAACTGCTTCCCAATTTCATGAAAGAGAATATGTGTGACTCATAAGGACAAACACATGTTTTCTATTCAACCAGTGACCAGTACAAGCTCTGAAAACAAGGGGATTATCCATCCTATTTTTAGATATCAAATGGAGATACATTAATATCAAAGAGTACAAGTTTATGTTAAATATATTCTAGTGGGAATCACACACATTTATGCAAATGTTCTTTATCATTTAAGAAAATGTTTTAGCAGAGAATGAGATCCATTTATAGGCTGCTTTGCTTGAATTAAATCAGCAATCAACCCCCACATTTTAAATGTGAAACAAAATTAAAAACTGCCTTTTTAAAATTCAATAAATAATGCACTTTGTTTAACTAGGTTTGATATAATCTAATAGCCTGGATCACAAAAAGTATCAACAATTTGTACTATATTAGGAATGAGATGATCAGTTCAAAAGGGAATTGATAAATATTATTCAAAACAGTATTTATACTTGAAAAACATCCAAAGTACAACATTAAAGCAGATGCAGCATCCTGCCCTAGGTGCCTACAATCTTCGAGATAATGATTAGGTATGCTTGTCATGCTTACTGTAGCAACAAATTCAGTATTATTTTTATTACAATTCAGAATAGGTCAATCACAAGCTGTTCTGTAAAAACAACATGCTACTTTTAAAAAAAGGCACTGGAGGCTGACTCAAGAGCAGCATTTTATTCTGTGAATTCTCATATTATGCTAAGCATGGCCTGTTCAGATGGGTTTTTTTTTACATGAAGGAAAATCAAAATTGAATAAAGTTTCAGGGACTAATTTACTCAACATTTCTTCAACAAAACTGTGCATGGCTAGTTCGTGGGCATCTAGACAAAATAATTTATTCAGATTAAAATTCTGTCCTTAAAAAACATTTGTGCCAGTGGTAAATACAAAGAGAGCTTAAAATTGGTCACGCCTTTGGTTAAGAAAGCATACCAAGGGCTTGTCTATACTTTGTTTTCCTTTAATACTCATACTGATCATTTATAGAGAGACAAGCACATTGTTAAGTAAGTTGGTTTTCTGTCAATTAGCTGTGCATTAACATGATGGAGAACTGTTAGTATACAAATCTTGACACCAGGCAAATAATTCCTTTTCTCCTTTTTCCAATTCATCACCTGATGTGAGTTCCCCAACTTTCACAATGTCGAAAGATCGGGTGGAGAACACGACCGTCTGTTGTTGCTTTTTATCTGGTGCATCCATTTGCAGTTCCTAGGTAGAATTATAAGTGAAAGCAGAAAGTGTGTTATAGTTGGTTTTCACTAGTTTATGTTCTTGTATTTGACTGTTATACTTAGCCTCATCTCAAAAAAAATGTATAGCATTGTTTTAAAAAATTACAAAGTAATTCATGAATACTTGTTCATTGTAAATATTCCTACAATGTAGTAGTGTACTGAGGATGTCTTTACACATAGAGCTTTTAACAACCTTAGGAATAGATATGTTAAGAGTGTAGATAGAAATGACTTCTATTTTGAGAAAAGCATCATTAGAGATGTGCTGAATCAAGAGAGTCGACATACAGAACCAACAAGGATTTTTTTTGCCAACTCATGCTGATGTGTAGCCAAACCAGCTATTTATCAGAATAGCTACTCATACTGTTGAAGAATGTTTAATATATGTGTTACCAAGAAGAATGTAGCTGTATACTATCTGAGATATACACCATAGGTATCTCAGCCTTGAACTTGTAGATTAGGAAAATTCTACTTACGGAAGTAGAATTACTCAGTTTGAATATTGTCCAAAACAATGAATTCAGTACAAGTTAAACTTACAGTCCCTGCAGAAGCATTTTGTTTCTTTAGCCATCTTATAAACTTTTTTCACTTTTCAACTTTCATTTGAGCTTCCTTCAATCGACGACCCAGATGTTTAATTTGGCTTTGCTGTTGGTTGGGCCGATATAAAGTTTGGCCACTTGAGAAGGATGAAGGATGCCTAGAAAATTTTTGTATTATAGACTGAAAAAATGCACAAATTAAAATGTAAATGTACAGCAAGTTCCAAATTTTATTAAAGCATCTTCTAGGAAATATTTATAGACCTCAGTACTTGGAGCAATACTGCATGTAAGTTTGTAGGCCAGTTATCATTTCTGTTTAAGTTAAATAGCTTAGTTCTTTATCAGCTACTTATGAAGGTGTATAGATGATGGTCCTGCTGCTGCTACCAAGTTATAAAACATGGTATTAATTTAAAGTCAGTGTTCCTGGAAAATATTGTGTAGTAGTCATTGAATCTTTTTTATATACTACATACTAACACAGAAAGAGTAATAAACTTCATAATGGCTGGGAAAACCATGTTTTTATCAGTGTTGGGCTCACACGCAGCCAGTGCCATGCCCATAGTCCCCTTGGCCTTGCCACTACACGGCCCATGGGCCCAACTTCCAACTGCCAGCATCAGCCTGGGAACTTTCTTGTGAAAACAAGAGCCCATGTGTGGGGAAAGTGCCCGAGAATTAATACCTCCCCTGCTAATGAATAACTTGAGTTCCATGTTCTATACTGATTCGGACATTCCCAGGAGGGATTAAGCTCCAGTTACTCATGGTGGTAACATATTTACTAACACACTGGGCTGCTGCCCTTCCCTGTTTCACTTCTCTGCTCCCTCTCATAAGTGGTTTATGGGATCACCTCCTCCCAGATAAACTACTCATGCTCAAATCTTTGTCTCAAGGTTGCTTTGGGGAAATCCCAAACTAAGAATGCATTCAAAGAAGGCCTTAAGAAAGCACTTTTCCCTCTTCAGTTGACTTATAATTTGGCTACTTATTTGGCTCTTTAAGTGACTCATTCTTAGATAGTAGCATGAGTTCAAATAGCAGGAAGCCTAGGGTCATATATGGGAGCAGAGAAAATTACATCATTTATTTGACCTTGATGCTAATAGGGTTAATTTCTATATTCAGTGCTTATATGGGCAAGTTAGAGAACATCTATTTCATGACAACAGACCGAACCTTACACCAGGCCATCTGTCGGGCAAATGTATAGCCTTGAACATAAAATAAATGGACTAAATTATGTTATTGGGTCAGCACCACTCATCTTTACTCCTGAAAAAAATCCAGCGTGTTTGCCTGATGGTCACCGTGTCTTCTTCATGTACTAAATGAGCAATTTTCATTTCAAATATGACTATGTGAAAATAGACTACCAACAAGTCCTTTTCAGTCTATTATCTCTTTTTCTGGAAAATGAAAGCTTAATTTGTAAATAAGAAGGGCTAGGCGAGACATGGTAATGGAAAGAAAAAAAGGAATGTAACTGGAGCAGTCGTATCCTGTCCATGTTGTTTCAGATCATAATACAGTCTATTTTGCTACAACATGCATTTCTATAATGTGAATTGGCTCACATGCTATTCGTAAAGGAAAGAATAATGTCACTGTAATTTATATGCAATTTATCCTCAGCAAGGGGAGCCAGAATAGTGAGAGTAGAATTACAACCTTCAGTAGGAAAGGAAAAAGTCCTCAGCTCTGTGCAGCATGGTCAAAGGGAACCCTTTGGGCTGTATTTCTGAAAATAAGAATTACCACCTGCATCTAGGACTCTTTCCCCAGAAAGGCAATCCTGGTCCCTACCATCCATCTTTACTGCTCTCCACCCTACTCTCCACCCTCAGTGGTTTCTTGGTTCTTGGCAGGTTGTACTGCCTCTCATGTCTACTTAAGAGGCAGGCACCCTGGCCCAGGGTCCAGTTCCATCTGTGCTGTCCCAGTGCCCACTATCTGCTCTAACTGAAAGGGTCACCAGCATTTACACTCCATTGTTGTACATTTTTTTTATATTTACCATGGTGGCCTCCAGCCATCCTAAGCTACCTGTCTGGTGGTACAAGGTATCTCCCCAGGTACCAAACATCTTTTTGTTAGTGCTCCATTTACAGGGTTGCATATGTTTTGAGCACTCTGCCCACCCCTCTTTTTCCGTATGCCCTGTTATTATCTTTTGTGAGATATTAGGCAGAATGTGACCATTTTCAGAAATGCCCCCAGTGGTGTAACCCTGGAAAAGGGTCACTTTTACCTAACTTCAGAAACAATCTGTAGCTGGTGCTGACGCATCTGTTCTGTTTGTGGTCTCTGTAACAGATACTTCATTTCCTTTCGAAGACATTTTGAGATTATTCCAGACTCTGAATAATCAACTATGTCATATATTATCATTGTCTTGGGAATGTTTTTGAGGCTTAATTTTCACCAGTAATTATTTCTGCTACCAGAAGATGCAGGGGTTTCATTCAGGTGACTGGAATACTCTATAGAAAAAGCAATTAAGAATTGTGTTTTGGTTGTGGGTGCTTTGAAATGTTTTTAGATACATGTCCCAAGATTCCATTCCAAGGGTACTTCATCCAAAAAGCATTCCTTGATCCCATCTCTGAACTTCACCAGCATCTCTTTTATTATCAACTACTTGATGTTTGAGCCAGCTGTGTACATTTTAGCTCCTTACAGGATGGCAGGAGCCTAGTCACACAGTATCACACACATGGTACCACACTCACTAAATATTTATTTAATGCATAAACGTTTCAGTGGCACATATGACTCAGATAAATTAAACTCAGGATGAGTCTAAAAACTGACAACAGCTATGTGATCTGCATACCTGGTAATGCTCATTCATGACATGCTTGGGTTGAGAGGACATTTGCACAAACCTTTTTAGAAATTAGCTCATCTCTTGTCTAAGAAGTGAGTTTCACTGCTTTCACTTGGAATAACTGTAGAAATCCCACTTTTCTCTTTTTAAAATTTAAAATGTCAAATTAGGAATTTAAAAAATGCACATATATATAGTCAATTTGACCTTATAAATGTTCAGCTATGAGATAGGAATAGAGCAAGAAGAGCTATGATGCTAGGAAATGGAATAACAAACAGCTAGGCTTTTAGGGTATATACCGCAGGCCCATGCTTGCACTCACACTCACACACACAGGCAGTTCGCCCTTTGTATCATTTAGGCATGCATGAATTTCAATTACCACCATTTAATTGAATGTTTAGTCCTCCAACAACATGGTTCAAATTTCAGTTACCACAGTATGACTGAGTAATTGCAAAGAAGTACAGCCTCTGTTGCTAGCTGCTCTTCAGTCCCTAGATCACAACATAAATGACAGATGTGCATGATGATTAGTGACAAATTCTGTCACTTCTTTCGAAATGTATCCATGACTGGTCACTGGGGATTTGTTATTCAGGTCCCACACAGACGGCAAAGTGAGTAGCTGTGTTGCCTCTTTGTCTCCCAGTGATAGACCCATGTGACATTTTACAAAAAAAGATAATTGGAAGAGGGAATAAGCCAAGAAAGAAACAAAAAGTGGCAATGCTGGAAGTGAAATTCAAATAGAATGTACATGGAGTTCTAGAAGAAACAGGTGACCATGCGGATGCAGTCACTGCCATCATTCAAGAGACTGCAGACAGGAAGCTAGAGGAACTTATTGAAGGTAAACTTAAACATAAATGAGGAAAGTGGCTGAGACAAAAAGAATAAAGCTGTCCCAGAGGAAGTGACGCTGGCAAAAGACACTTCACCTTAAAGGAACTGTGAGATAATTCATGACATTTAAAGCACAAAGGATAGAATGTTGGTGGGTGATCCAAACTTAGAAAAGAGTATGACAGTCTGCCAAGGCAGAGAAGAGATGCTCACTCCATATTGTAAGCTATCTGAGAAGAACAAGAAGGCAAGCACTGCTTAAACTACTCTCAAGAAATGGTTTTTTTACAGCTTTATTGAGATTCACATCTCATACAATTCATCCTTTTAAAGTGTTGAATTCAATGGTTTTAGTGTATTCACAGTTGGTAAGTTTTTTAATAAAGAAATAAAACATTTTAATTCTCATTGTTTCTAACATTTTAAATTATACTGTACTGATTGAATTCTTCATTTTTTTTTCCTTCAGTTTCCTATATATTATAACAGACAGTAGAAGAGTTTTCAGTGTTTGGGCATGTTTGTTTAAAGGCACGGGGCACTCACAATGTTCCCCCTTGGTCATTCAGCTTGCTTTGCATGGTTTCGGTTTGCGCGGTCACTTTCACCACCCAGTACTACCCGGCAAGTGAGGACTGCCCATGCATGTGATTTCCAGAGAGTCAGGCAGTAAGACAGGTAAACATCTCAGAACTGTCGATGTGCTCTGCACTTATTAGCCATGTGACCTTGGGCAAATTTTTAAAAACCTCATTAAACTCCATTTTTCTCATCTGTTAAAGGCTCACCTAGCTTGCCAACTAAAAAATTAAAGGAGATAATATGCAATATAAAGAGCTAAAAACAGTGTCCATAAAGGGCTCAATAAATATCAGCAATGTTCTCTCTCTCTCTTTCAATATGTCTATCTGGGGACTTCCTTCTATGACACCAATCCCTGGCATAATCACAGTCTTCAAGTATACAACCCATGTCCTTAGCAAAGATAGCTGGTGTCCCCAAACTCTACTTATTTCCTGGTTCAATTCTCTCATCTTCTAGGTGAAGGCTCCAAAAGAAAGAAACACAATTGGGAGTCTCTGAGGCACTGCATTCACTTTCATTTACTGTTTCACACTGAAGCAACTGGGAGAATAGTTAAGGTCATATGTTATTATTATGAAGTAGAATTCGGGGATCCCTTGTTTCTTCAGAACTTGTAAAATGTAGGTAGTAACAGTACCTGCCTCTTAGAGTTGTTATGAGAATAAAGGGAGTTGGTATTACATCGGCATTTGCTATTATTATTATTCAGGCATCTAGTTTAAGTTCCCTGATTCAGCTCTGCTGTCTGATCAGTTAGGCAAACCAGAAACCTAGGAGCCACACTGGACACTTTCCTTTAGCTTACCTCCCTGTCTGTCAGCAAGGCCTACTGCTTTTATTCTTCAGTCATCTCTTGTGTCTCCAGCCTCACAGCCGTAAACCAAGATACGACCATCTCTCCTAAAATAAGTGTAGAACCTCCAAATTAGGAGAAGGCTCTAATGCATTCTCTACATCACAGCAGATGTATCCCACTCATTCGACTAGAGCACCTCATTTCTTGAAACACTGCACCAGCTTCTCATTGCACACAGAATCAAGAAAAAATGAATAAACACCTTACTATGGCCAAAAGCTCTACATGATGATCTCTTGCCAGCCCTGCAGCCTGACTGCATGCCACATTCTCTCTGCTCTCTGCTCCAGCCCTACAGTCCTGCTTTCAGGCTCTTTGCTTGTGATGTGCCACCCACTGAGCTCTAGACTGAGGCTGTGACCCATTGCTGATCACCTGCCTATCAACCATTTCCCACTTCTCCCTTGCTCGTGGAATCCTGATTTTTTTTTTCAGGTATGGAACAGTAATAATGTCCAGGAGGAAGGGCCCAAGCACATGAACCATGATTGTTCCAAGTCAATCATGGGAAATGATCCCATTTTCCTTTATTAGTGATTGGTTTAGGTGGAGCATGTGATCCACTTTTGACCAATGTGACCTGAGGGGAAGTCTCTTTGGGGATTTTGGGAAAGACTTTTCTTCTTGAGATGAAGAGAAAAAAAATGGCAGGAGTCCCCTTCTTCCTGTCTTTGAATGTAAGTGAAAATGTGATAGTCATCCTGTTACCATGTGAAGGAAGCCAAGAGGACAAGAGGACTGTGGAAAAGCTGACCCAGAACTGTGATGTCCTTGAGCTGCTGCATTAGCTAGTTTAGGACCCACCTATCAATAAATGTCCTTTACTGTTGAAGCCTCTTGTGATTGTGAATATTCTATAACATGTAGCAGAAAACAAGTGAACAATAATAGAGCCCTTCCTTACTAGGTCAAATCCCCATCATGCACTCTCTTAGCACCATGATTTTTTACTGAGATAAAATTCACTTAATATGTAATTCAACATTTTAACTACTGTAAAGTATATAATTCAGTGGTATTAATAAATTCACACTATATCGATGGAGGAGACGATCAAGATGGTGGTGTGAGTAGGGCGGCAGAAATCTCCTCCCAAAACCATATATATATATATATTTAAATACAGCAAATACAACTAATCCCAAAAGAGAGACCAGAAGATACAGTACAACAGCCAGGCTACATCTACATCTGCGAGAACTCAGCATCTCACGAAAAGGGTTAGAGACAAAGCCATGACCCGGAGGGACCTGAGCACTTCCCCTACCCCAGATCACCTGCGGGAGGAAAAGAATCAGAGTGGGAAGGGAGTGGAAGCACAGGACTGATAAATAACCAGCCCTAGTAATCTGCACCAGGAGCACAGACACACATCGCATGGTGTACTGGATGTTAGAGAAATGGAAAAGTAAAATCTGAGATGGAGACTGCAAGTGGGTCCCCACAGCTGGCTCCCATGGGACAAAAGAAAAGTGGGTGCTTTAAAAGTATTAAAGGGACAAGGATTTAACAGGTGGACAAAATTGTCCTGGCACACTCAGCCCAGGAGGCTAGGAATCTTAAGGAACTTCAGGCACCCTAACCCCCTGGGTGAGAACGCAGCTCTGAAGCCCCTCACAGCGATAAGCAGCCTGCCGCTCATTCCATCTCACCGGCAGAGCAGGCAAACTGGATGACCTGCCACTGCCGCAGACCAGCTGGGGAGCAGCCCCTCCCACAGCAACCACACAGAGTCTTCTCCCAGCATGCAGCTAACTGGGACAGACCCAGAGGCTGCCGCAAGTGCACAACTGCTCGGCACAGGCAGAGGAAGCTGGAGAAAAGTCCTGAAGGCATGAAGGGGTGCCGTTCTCACCCAGTGCACCTGCGGCACCTAGCACTGCTGTAGGCTATCCTGAGAGCTGCCCTGCCCATGCTGGCTCAGGGAATTAACCCAGAGACTGCTCCCTGTGTGTGGGTAACTAGCACAGGCAGCACAGAAGTGCAAGGCAACCAACAAGCAGGAAGGGACTTTGTTCTCCCAGCTGACAAACACACCACCTGCCAGCAATCACTTCTATCACCATGAAAAGGCTGAAGAACATGGTCCAGTCAGAAATCACTCAAACAACACCAGAGAGAGGGCCTAGTGAGATAGATATAACCAATCTTCCTGAAAAAGAATTCAAAATAAAAGTCATAACCATACTGATGGACATGCAGAGAAATATGCAAGAGCTAAGGGATGAAGTCCAGAGGGAGGTAACAGAAATGAAACAATCAATAGAAGGGCTTAAGAGCAGACTGGACGAGATGCAAGAGACTGTTAATGGAATAGAAATCAGAGAACAGGAATACAGAGAAACTGAGGCAGAGAGAGATAAAAGGATCTCTAGGAATGAAAGAATATTAAGAGAACTGTGTGACCAATCCAAACAGAACAATATTTGCATAATAGGGGTACCAGAAGAAGAAGAAGACAGAAAAAGGGTTACAAAGTGTAGTTGCAGAAATAATTGCGGAAAACTTCCCCAAGCTGGGGAAGGAAATAGTCTCCCAGACCATGGAAGCCTACAGATCTCCCAACACAAGGTACACAAGGAGGACAACACCAACACATATAATAATTGAAATGGCAAAGATCAAACACAAGGGCAGAGTATTAAAGGCAAACATAGAGAGAAAAAAGATCACCTAAAAAGGAAAACCCATCAGGCTATCATCAGACTTCTCCACAGAAACCTTACAGGCCAGAAGAGAATGGCATGATATATTTAATGCAATGAAACAGAAGGGCCTTGAACCAAGACTACTGTATCCAGCACAATTATCATTAACATTGAAGGAGGGATTAAACAATTTCCAGATAAGCAAAAGTTGAGGGAATTTGCCTCCCACAAACCACCTCTATAGGGTATTTTAAAGGGACCGTTCTAGATGGAAGTACTCCTAAGGCTAAATAGAGGTCACCAGAGAAAATAAAATCACAGCAAATAAAGCAGACCAATCAAACACTAACTTAAAAAAAAATAGAATCAGCTATCCACAAAAGCAGTCAAAGAAAACACAGAAGGGTACAGAATAAAACACCTAACATATAAAGAAAGGAGGATAAAGAAAAAGAAGGGAGAGAAATAAAGAATCATCAGACTTATTCATGTTTATAATAGCATAATCAATGAGTTAAGTTAGATGGTTAGATAGTAAAGAAGCTACCCTGGAAACATTGGTAACCAAGAATCCAACACCTGCAATTGCAATAAGTACATATCTACCAATAATCACCATAAATGTAAATAGACTGAATGCACTAATCAAAAGAGACAGAGTAATAGAATGGATAAAAAGCAAGACGCATCTATATGCTGCCTACAAGAGTCTCACCTCTATCCCCAAGACATACACAGACTAAAAGTGAAGGGATGGAAAAAGATATTTCATGCAGACAATAGGGAGAAAAAAGCAGGTGTTGCAGTACTTGTATCAGACAAAATAGACTTAAAAACAAAGTAACAGATAAAGAAGGATATTACATAATGATAGAGGGGTCAGTCCAACAAAAGGATATACCCATTATAAATATACATGCACCCAACCCAGGAGCACCTACATATGCGAAACAAATACTAACAGAATTAAAGGAGGAAACAGAATTCAATGCATTCATTTTAGGAGACTTCAACACAACACTCACTCCAAAGGACAGATCAACCAGACAGAAAATAAGTAAGGACACAGAGGCACTGAACAAAACACTAGAACAGATGGACTTAACAGACATCTACAGAACTCTACACCCAAAAGCAGCAGGATACACATTCTTCTCAAGTGCACATGGAACATTCTCCAGAATAGACCACATACTAGGCCACAAAAAGAGCCTCAGTAAATTCAAAAAGATTGAAATTCTACCAACCAACTTCTCAGATCACAAGAGCATAAAACTAGACATAGATTGTACAAAGAAAACAAAAAGGCTCACAAACACATGGAGGCTTAACAACATGCTCCTAAATAATCAATGGATCAGTGACCAAACTTAAACAGAGATCAAGCAATATATGGAGACAAATGACAACAACAGCACAATGCCCCAACATCTGTGGGACACAGCAAAGGCAGTTCTAAGAGGAAAGTATACAGCAATCCAGACCTACTTAAAGAAGGAAGAACAATCCCAAAGGAATAATCTAAAGCCACAATTGTTGAAACTGGAAAAAGAAGAACAAATGAGGCCCAAAGTCAGCAGAATGAGGGACATAATAAAGATTAGAGAAGAAATAAATAAAATTGAGAAGAATAAAACAGTAAAAAAACCCCAGTGAAACCAAGAGCTGGTTCTTTGAGAAAATAAACAAAATAGATAAACCCCTAGCCACACTTATTAAGAGAAAAAGAGAATCTACACATATGAACAGAATCAGAAATGAGAAAGGAAAAATCATGACGGATACCACAGAAATACAAAGAATTATTAGAGAATACTAAGAAAATCTATATGCTAACAAGCTGGATAACCTAGAACAAATGGACAACTTTCTAGAAAAATACAACCTTCCAAGACTGATCAAGGAAGAAACATAAAATCTAAACAGACCAACTACCAGCAACGAAATTGAATCGGTAATCAAAAAACAACCCAAGAACAAAACCTCCAGGCCAGATGGATTCACCACTGAATTTTATCAGACATATAGAGAAGACATAGTACCCATTCTCCTTAAAGTTTTCCAGAAAGTAGAAGGGTACGGAATACTTCCAAACTCATTCTATGAAGCCAACATCACTCTAATACCAAAACCAGGCAAAGACACCACAAAAAAAAGAAAATTACAGATCAATATCCCTGATGTTGAGATGCAAAAATACTCAACAAAATATTAGCACACCGAATTAAAAAGTACATCAAGAGGATCATACACCATGTTCAAGTGAGATTCATCTCAGGGATGCTAGGATGGTACAACATTCGAAAATCCATCAACATCATCCACCACATCAACAAAAAGAAGAACAAAAACCACATGATCATCTCCATAGATGCTGTAAAAGCATTTGACAAAATTCAACATCCATTCATAATAAAAACTCTCAACAAAATGGGTATAGAGGGCAAGTACCTCAACATAATAAAGGCCATATATGACAAACCCACTGCCAACATCATACTTAACATCACGGAGCTGAAAGCTTTTCACCTAAAATTGGTAACAAGACAGGGATAGCTACTGTCCCCACTTTTATTCAACATAGTAGTGGAGGTCCTAGCCATGGCAATCAGACAACACAAAGAAACACAAGGCATCCAGATTGGTAAGGAAGAGGTCAAACTGTCACTATTTTCAGATGACATGATGTTGTACATAAAAAACCCTAAAGACTCCACTCCAAAACTACTAGAACTAATATCTGAATTCAGCAAAGTTGCAGGATACAAAATTAATACACAGAAATCTGTTGCTTTCTTATACATTAACGATGAATCAGCAGAAAGAGAAATTAGGAACAATTGCATCAAAAAGAACAAAATACCTAGGAACAAACATAACCAAGGAAGTGAAAGACCTATACCCTGAAAACTACAAGAAACTTTTAAGAGAAATTAAAGAGGACACTAATAAATGGAAATTCATCCTATGCTCTTAGGTAGGAAGAATTAATATTGTCAAAATGGCCATCCTGCCTAAAGCAATCTACAGATTCAATGCAATCCCTATCAAAATACCAACAGCATTCTTCAACGAACTGGAACAAACAGTTCTAAAATTCATATGTAACCACAAAAGACCCTGAATAGCCAAAGCAATCCTGAGAAGGAAGAATGAAGCAGCGGGGATCTTGCTTCCCAACTTCAAGCTCCACTACAAAGCCACAATAATCAAGACAATTTGGTACTGGCACAAGAACAGACCCACAGACCAGTGGAACAGAAGAGAGAGTCCAGATATTAACCCAAACATATATGGTCAATTAATATACAATAAAGGAGCCATGGATATACAATGGAGAAATTACAGCCTCTTCAACAGTGGGTGTTGGCAAAACTGGACATGTATTCAAAATGGATCAAAGACCTGAATGTAAGTCATGAAACCATAAAACTCATGGAAAAAAACATAGGCAAAAATCTGTTGGACATAAACATGAGTAACTTCTTCATGAACAAATCTCTCTGGGCAAGGGAAACAAAAGCAAAAATGAACAAGTGGGACTATATCAAGCTGAAAAGCTTCTGTACAGCAAAGGACACTATCAATAGAATAAAAAGGCATCCTACTGTACTGGAGAATATATTCATAAATGACATATCCAATAAAGGGTTGACATCCAAAATATATAAAGAGCTCATGCACCTCAACAAACAAAAAGCAAATAATCCAATTAAAAAATGGGCAGAGGAGCTGAACAGACACTTCTCCAAAGAAGAAATTCAGATGCCCAACAGGCACACGAAAAGATGTTCTACATCGCTAATCATCAGAGAAATGCAAATTAAAACCACAATGAGATATCACCTCACACCAGTTAGGATGGCCAACATTCAAAAGACAAACAACAACAAATGCTGGTGAGGATGTGGAGAAAGGGAAACCCTCCTACACTGCTG